GTCTACCCACCCATCAGCCTTGATGCCACGGTCTACCCACCCATCAGCCTTGATGCCACGTGTCTACCCACCCTCAGTCTTGCCACCTTCAGTGCATCAGCACACACGCCGATCCCCCAGGCCAGCGGGGACTGTTCCTAGAGGCTGCTACAAAGTCCCAAGCAAATGAGTAAGGGTCTGTGCTGTTCACTCACCTGCCCAGCGTGGAGCAGCGGTGGCGGTGGGAGGCTGGACGCCAGGCGGCGTGGGGTCGGCTCTCCTCACAGCGTGTGGGAGGCTGCAGCACTGCTTAGCTGGACTGGACTCGCCAGTGGTCGGCAGAAGCCCTGTGTTCCGAAACAGCCGGGTTTGAGCTCCCCTTTCTGGCGACCTCAGGACCTCAGCATGTAGGACGTCCCCAAAGGGGCAGCCTGGGCGACAGAATGGAGACGGAGGCGAGGTGTGAGAGTGCAGGCGCTCACTGCCCTTTGCTGGCCTGTGGCGGTGCTTGCGGGCACTACCACTACAATGGCCCCAAGTGCCCAGGGGCCCATTCTCTAAGGGGCACCAGGCTCGGTGCTTTTCTTTCCTTTTTTTTTTTTTTTAAAGATTTATTTATTTATGCATATAGAACTGGGGTACAGGCCAGAGGGGCGGGGTGGTGAGAGGCTTCACCTGAGACAGTGGGGAGCAGAACAGGCAGATCAAGGAAACACACTGCTGAGGGGAGCAGCGGGCGGGCCAGGAGAGGTCTGCCGTGCCATGTGGTTACCTCCGGGGCAGGCGGGAATCGAACTCATGTTGAAGTGGCTTTAGCTTCTTAGAGCAGTGCTTTAACCCGCTGCGCCACCAGGGAGGGCCGCTTGGTGTTTTCTAAGGACATATATCAAAACAACCACTTCCAGGAGAGCCAGTCTTACCTAGAATAAACACACCCCAAGAGAGGGAATGGGGTCACCCCGAGAGGCACTGTACTTCAGCAAGCTGAAAGGGAGAGGTTCCCTGCGTCTTGGAAATGGCCTGCGGTCCCGGCTCCTGCTCATAGAGGCCTCTCAGTGCTGCTGCCGCGCCTCCGGCTGTTCCCCCAACTGGGTGGGACAAGGAAGGGGCCCCTCTGAGCCCTTGAGGGCAGCAGGGCTCCCCATCTGACAACCACTGACTAACCAGCAAGTTTCTGACGCTCAGTCAAAAGCAGACAGCAGCACGGTGCAAACTAACGATCCAGTACGCGCGCCATAAAGCTCCTTGGTGTGTGAGTTAGGACAGTCGCCCAGGGCGCAGGGAGGGTCACAGTGGGGGCACACAGAGAGCCACGCGGCTCCAAGGTGGCAGCGATGAGCTCAATGCCAAGGGATCCTCTCCGGTGGGGAGACGTGGCTGAGGGTCTCTTCCGAGTGGGTGAACGGGAAACAGGGCCCGGCAGCCGGTGGCCAGACACACGCTTACCCCGGGGGGAGAACCCCCATGAGCACCTGAATGTGCCAGTGTCTGCCTGGAGACAGCTCCCGGGTGGCCAGGCACCCCGGGCAGGGCGCAGCCCCCCGCAGAGGGAGTGAACATGGACAAAGGCCCAGACCCCTGCCAGCAGCATGGAGAAGGACCGAGGGAGAGCGCGGCAGGAAGGGACCCGCGGGTCAGAGGAGGTCAGGCCATGGTGAAAGTACTAATCAGCTTCAGCTGGAGCCTCCGGGAAGCAAACAGGAAATTAAACAGGTCAGCGGCCTTGAGAGGAGCGAGGGGGGAGGAACAGGTGAAGAACAGAAGAGCAGGAAGTAGATATGTGTGCAAAGTGTTTGGAATAACTGGCCCTGAAAGGAGATAGCTCAGGCTCGCGATGCTGCAGGGCGGAGGTCGCCACAACAGCGAGGATCGGGCGAGTCTCCCAGGCCCTGGAGACAGGATTTGTGGGGACAGCGGCCCAGGCAGCCTGGACAGGCTCAACTATTGCCCTGCCTCCTGTGACCACGTGACCGTGCAGGTATTCAAGGCTGTGGTTTGTGGAAGTGGAAAAGGTGGGTCCGCTGGACAAGGCTCCCTGCTTCTGCACCTGACGTGTCTGAGAGCCGTCTGACCACTGCCAGGAAAAGGCAAGGCGCTCCCGCTGCTGGTGCGCAGGGCAGAGGCGGGTGGGAAGAGGGCAGGGGAAGGGCGGTGGAGAAACTCAGAAGAGGTAGTGGGCGGGGGATCTTCTGAGGAGGGAGGCGTCAGAAAAGGGAGAGAGGCTGGGAAGAGTCAGTGGAGAGATGGTTTGGGATAGGGGAGCGGGGAGAAGCTGAGGCAAATAGCAGGTGACTTCAGAACCTTTCCTGTGGCAGCTTCTGACACATCGACATTCTTCAGAACGAATGATCCTTCTCTCCTTTTCCCTGTTCCTTGGTAAGGTAGAAATACAGAGGAGGAAGTTGCTGAAGAAAGAATCCATTAAGAGATTAGGGGGCCGGGTCCTCCCTGGCAGTACGACCAGGTAAAGCGCAGCACTGTCAAGCTGGCCACAGCCCCTGCGGCACGAGTTCTACGCCCGGCCAGGGCGGTGACCCCTGCCAGGGTCTCCCTGCTGCTCCCCTCAGCGGTATACTTCATCCATCTGCCTGTTCTGCTCCCCACTCTTGTCTCTGGTGAATCCCTTCACCACCTCTGCCCTGAACCCCAGTTCTCTATGCATGAATAAATAAATCTTAAAAAAAAAGAGAGAGCAAGATTAGGGACCCCTCTCTCCCCCCTCCACACTCCCACTCCCCCATAAGTGGAATAGTACTTTTGGCAGCTTAGGGAGACCTAAGTGAATGCAGTGGTGCTGAGAATGGGGTCCCCTGGCCGGGGAGGAATCAGACTGTTGGGGGGAAGTTCCTAAAGGAACTCTGCAGAGTTCTGCGGACTCCACCCCCTACTCCAGCTTTCTGGACTCTACACACTACTCCAGTGACTGAAACTACAACTCCCAGCAGCACCAGGGAGAGAATTGCGAGACCCAAGGGTGGAGCTAAGCAGGCATGCTGGGACTTTGGGGGATAAATAGGGCTCCAGGCATTCTGGGACTTTTGGGGGGATATAAGGGAGCCATGTGCCCGAGCTCACTCTCTCTGGGCGGCTGGCTCTGTGGACCAAGGCCACTCTCTGGACTGACTGGCTGGTCACCTGGCTCTTGATGAGCTACCAGTGTATTGGAGTTCCAAGTTGGGGAGCTGGTAGGATGTTCTAGTTACCTCGTATCTCTCTCTCTTTCCCTGGGTTGCTCCTTTTCCTTTCCCCTTTGTAAATAAACCCATTATTGACCCTTTTGTGCGTTCCTTCAGTACAACTGAATTTTCAGCGTTCAGGGGAGGCCCCACAGACAGGCGGCCCAGTTCACTTTGGGTGCCCTGTAACAAGATCCTCCCCCCCCTTCTCAGGATCCCTCATGGAGCGCCGAAGCCTGTGTCTGCTCTTGCTCTACATCATCTCTTTCCTCGTCGGTCTCCCCGCCAACCTCATGGCCCTGCGCGCCTTCGTGGGCCGGGTGCGCCAGCCCCAGCCCTCCCCCATCCACATCCTGCTGCTCAACCTGACCCTGGCCGACCTCCTGCTGCTGCTGCTGCTGCCCTTCAAGATGGCCGAGGCGGCGGAGGACTTCCACTGGTACCTGCCCCACGTGATGTGCGTGATCACCGCTTACGGCTTCTACAGCAGCATCTACTGCAGCACGTGGCTCCTGGCCGGCATCAGCATCGAGCGCTACCGCAGCGTGGCCTTCCCGGTGCGGTACAAGCTGACCCGCCGGCCGGTGTACGGGGTGATCGCCGCCCTGATCGCCTGGGTCATGTCCTTCGGCCACTGCAGCATCGTGATCATCGTCCTTTACTTGCCAAACGAAAACACGACGAGCGTTGGCGGAGTCTGTTACGGGGACTTCAGCCAAAGGCAGCTGGCCCTCCTGCTCCCGGTGCGGCTGGAGCTGTGCCTCGTCCTATTCTTCATCCCCATGGGCATCACCATCTTCTGCTACTGGCGCTTGGTCTGGATCATGCTCTCCCGGGCCCACGTGGGGGCCCAGAAGCGCTGGCGGGCCGTGGCGCTGGCCGCCTTGAACCTCTTCAACTTCCTGGTGTGTTTTGGGCCTTACAATGTGTCTCACGTGCTTGGGTACATCCACCAGGAGAATGAGGAATGGAGAGTGTGCGCCGTGTTCCTGGGCGCTCTCAATGCGTGCGTGGACCCCCTCATTTTCTATTTTTCCTCCTCCGCGGTGCGCAACGCTGTGAGCCAGAGGCACCGGCTGCTGCAGAGCTGGGGCACCTGGCTGGCGGGGCGCTGGAGGAGAGGCGGCAGGGAGCAGGCTGCGAAGACAGAAGACGGCATGGGCATGGCCGATGTCAGCCTCGCCAAAGACTAGATTTGCCCGCTCCGTGTTACATTTGGGGGGGAAGAGTTCAGGCAGGGGAGCAGCGAAACAGAACACAGTTCTCTGTGTAGCTAAAGAGGCAAAACGGCCCAGACCCTGCTCGCCAGGCGGTGCGACCCTGTTTTGTTCCGTCCCTGGGGATTACATGCGTCTTCCCTGGTGCCGGCTCACAGCGCCCCATGGATGGTGCCAGAGTCCTCTGGCCCTGGAAGACCAGTCTGGGAATTGTTCAGCATCCTCACACAGGAGACATACCTCATTTTCCACTGAAGTTTTAAAAAGACCTTCCATCAGCCAAAAGCCTCCATAATGAGGAGCCCTTTTTTCCCCTTTTGGTCAATAAAGTAATTTTGGAGGATTTGATGTATGTACTTTTAATTGCAGTAAAGTTAGGTTACATCACTGTATTTGTTTTTGGGGCTATAAGTCAAACCTCAAGTGTGTATTTTCACACCATGCCCACCACCAAAGCCCCAATAACGCCCTCCATCCTACCCTCTCGCCCCTCCCCCTCCGGGGGCCTTGGGTGTGCAGTGAAATGTTCAGGGTTTGTTACTGGCTTGATTTTGTCTGACCTTTAACTTTGTTTCTTTATGTTCCACAAGTATTTCTCTCTCATTGGATTTCCAATAAAGTATTTTGAAATGAAGGTTTGCTTCTTAAAGATAGAATCCTACTGCATACTTAACAGACTGCCAGAGAATGGAAGCATAACTTTTCCATGCATGAGAAACAGACAAAAAAATGCGTGACTTGCTTTATGGAGATACCGGCTTCCGGGGCTCTGGATCCCAACCCACGCATCTCCGCGGTATGGCCGAGTCTCTAAGATGGCGACATCTACTGCCGAGTTCTTCGCTGTTGTGGGCCTTGATTCAGAAGGGGGGTTCTGCCTGTTGAGTCTGGACAGCAAGCACAGGCCAGGGTCTGGAGAACCAACCATTGCCTGCCTGGAGTCCTGGGGCGCAGCACCTTGGCCAGTCAAGACAGCAGTGTAGACAGCAGGTGTAGACAGCAGGCCAGACCAAAGAGTGCCTGAGAGACGGCGCCAGCGGCAGAACTCGGGTCAGGAGAGGTTTTAGCAGTTACATGTGTCCGAGTCTCGACCGTCTGGATAGCCAGCGCTGTGTATTGCAGCTGCTTCTTTCCTGGACCTGGACCAGTCTTGCCAGAAAGGGCTGCTGTGTTTGCAGAAAACCCCAGATCTTCTCTGGCATTTGTAGACTTTAATTTAACGACTCTCTAATTGTTTCTCTGCTGTTACCTTCCTTCTGCTCTAATGGGTCTTCTTGGTTGTTACTGTCTGCTTTTTTGCAGTCTTTCTTCTTTGCAAATAGAAGGCTGAGTAGCTGTGAATTTTGCTTTGTGAGGAGCAGCCTTCACGGGACACCAGTTTTGATTTGCGGAATTTTCAATATTTAGAGTTCTAAATGGGCTTTAAGTGAGTCCCCTACCCCCCTTTGACTCAGTTTTAGAAATTTAATGTTCAAGCATTATGTGTTAGGGGGTTGATCTTTATGTTCTTTCAGTGCTGATTAAACTGCAATGCAATTAGAGACTATGGTTTGGGTAGGGCAGCTCTTTGAATTATGTTGAGAATTGCACTTTTGTCCTAGAATATAATTAATCTGATGCTCCAGGTGTGAAAAGACTATAGATTCTGCAATCACAGATGCCATGCTCTCGCTACACACCTTCACTCCAGACCTGTTCACTTACGACATTCAAATCTTCCTGCTCTTGTCTATTTGATCTATCAGCTACATCAAATAGACAACATCAAGCGGTGTCCTGTGAGGGTGGACTCGTCTTCTCCCTGTAGGTGTCTTCCTAGTGAACTGAAACGTTCATTGTCCCTTTTGCTTTAAAACGTTTCGTGTTATTAAAATATCCACATCGATGCATTAGTACTTACCCAATGCATCTTTGCAGCCTCTTAATTTCAACCTTCCTCGATCCTGTAGGGTTTTTTTTTTTTTAAGATTTATTTTTTCATAGAAGAACTGGCCAGACGTGCAGGGGGTTGAGAGGATTCACCAGAGACAGAGTGGGGAGCAGAACAGGCCAATGGACTGATCCGCCTCATTTTATTTCTGTTATTTTAGACATCTTGACATGTGGGGAGTCCCACAGTTGTTTGCCCCACCCCCACTTTTCACTGCTTCTCTTTGAATCCTGCACAGCAAGGGAAAGCCAGTCTAGGTAGCCTGACGCGCTGTGAGTCCAAAGGAACAGTCTTCAAAGTGTAGTCTGGACACCCTGGGGGGCCCCCAGATTCCCTTTCAGGGATCAGACAGGTCAAATGACTGATGAAGATTTTAAGTTGCAAACTGTGACCTTGGCATTTTTAGAGGCCACTGAGTAAACCACCTTGACTTTTTTTTTTTTTTTTTTTTTGCAGAGGCCACCTGTCCCGTGTGAGCAGCAGGAACACCACAAAGCAGGTGTGAAAATACAACTGCCACACCTCAGCTGGCCAAGGACGAGAACCCCCAAAAGCAGTGCTGCGCTTCTCACTTCTCATTTCTTATTTTTGCTTTGTCTTTGGGTACTCTATACATGACTTTTTCACTACCCCATTCCTAATATTCCTTCGACTCCTTCTCTCTTCCACCTCCCTCTGAACATCAGAAACCTCACTTCATTAATGTCCACCAATTTTTACATGTATTTTGCCGAATTATCTGCTGTGCAAATGTCCATATTTGTCTTTGTGACTTGCTTTACTATAACTCCTCCCATCACTAACTTTTTTGAAAGTAGTTATAGGTCATGAAAATCTGCTGTTAATGGCCTGGTGATTATTACCATTTTAAAATGATGGGGCACATAGGTCATTTTTTTTTTTCTGGTTTAATTTGTAATGTGGCAAATGTCAATAGCTATGACCTACATAAAGATCAGAGTGTTGGGAGGGTCCTCACCAGTGCTTGCAAGTATAAAGGACTCTGAGATCAGCAAGTTTAGGAACTGCTGATTTACTGAAATAATGGACTCAGCTCTGCACAATGTAACTGCACTTACAGGCAGCACTAAGCATTAAGGGTCTCAGCATTTAGTGATTCGAGACAGAGTTGATGCCTTAAGGCCATTTAACTTCAGAGATGTAAGTTTAAAGTCTGCTTGGTCTAAGGCAAAGCTGTTAGAGGTATGAGATAAAATCAGTACTCTACCATAAAATACAGAGTAACAAAACAAATTTAAGGAGATGAGCTACATTGGCTCTGTGGGCGCCTACTGAGTTCATTACTCTGCTAGTTGAGGATCTTACTCACTATATAAGTGTTTTTCTTGTTTTCTGGGGCAGGATTGCCTTGCCACATTTAGGGGGTGTCATGTTGATCCAAAATATAGGATCTGATCTTAAAAATGAGATGGAGGTGGGACCCTCCCTGCTTATGGTGCAACACTGCCAGTTGGCAGCAGCCGCCTCAGTGCAAGTTCGATCCCCGCCTGCCCCGGAGCTGACCACCGGGTCAGCTGACCTGACCCGCCCGCTGCTCCCCTCAGCGGTGTATTTCATCGAACCACCTGTTCCGCTCCCCACTCTGTCTCTGGTGAATCCTCTCACCACCCTGCACCTCAGTTCTGTATGCATAAATAAATAAATCTTTTTAAAAATGAGATGATGGAAGAGGAGGAAAGCTCAATATTAATTATATTTGCCCTCTGTCTCCTGGGGAAAAAAATCTCTACATTAAAACATCAGCTGAGAGTAACGAAAGCTTGTCAGGGCCAATGTTGTGGACATACTTAGCGTTCAAAGCGCCAGTAAAAGCCCAGTGCTGCTGTTAAGAGTACTTGAGAGCTTCTAGCTCAAACAATCTAATTCAGCGCCTGCCTGTAATTCATGGTTCCTAGAGACATGCATTGGGGGATATGGGGAGAGGGGGTGAGCCAAGTTCCTCAAGCTCTGGGATTTTCAGGTTCTGGGTTTCAGGCAGCTTCCACTGGAGGGAGACTTGGACGTGAAGGTGGAATCACACCATTTGGTTTATGTGAACCCCCGTGAGTCCCTCTCCTGAACCTGAGCCTGGCCCTCACACCCCAGCCAGCCCCGCCAGCTCTTCACAGCCTCTGAATAGGTCTTTTAGGCAACAGGTTGTTAACCGTCGCCTGTGTTGCATTAAATGAATATTATTTGGCAAAGATGTAAGTCTACTAAACAGGAATTTTTCATCCATCCACTCTGGCCTACTTGGCCAATAAACACTCTGCCCTGAAGTTCCAACTCAGTGGAGGCTATTTGCCCCCCAGGGCTTTGGAACCACTTGGAGCAGCCTGCCTGGGGCTGGAGGAAGCGGAAGGCAGGAGGGACTGCCAAAGCCAAGTTCCAGATACTATCCCAAGTCAGATAGGCTCAGGGCTTTTCGGGTACAAACGCCAAGCACTCTTCAGCCTACGCCAGTCTGAATCGGGGTTCTGGTGACCCGCCACGGCTGCACCAGGCACGCTCCATATTTTAAGATTTTGAATTAAATGTTCAGTCTGGAAATGTACAAACACAACGACGAATACGCTCACCACGCACTGTGAGTGCTTAGGATCGTTTGCTTTCTTCTTATTTTTTATGTTGACATTGCTGTGATGTTTCACCCTCGCTGAACTGCCTGTCTTGTTTTCCAGATGCAACTGTGTGGTGGAGTTTAAGACTTTCCCTGGCCACAGACATGCCTGTGTCCCGCCCACAAGATGTACTTTGTCCTTGAGTCCATCGACACGGTTTAGTGCCCACTGTGTGTTCTAAATGCCCATAAATACCACACAGCACACGTCACGCAGTCACTGGCTGTTGTCCACCCTAAGTCACGTCTCGGCTGTCTCACTGCTGGATAATCGTCGCTGAGGCTCATCCTTCACGCATTCTGTCTGCTGAAGAACATTTTAGCACATAAACCAAGTGTTATTCCTACTATTGATAGGCTTTTCAATCATCTCCCATGATTCACTGGCATTATGACGCTACGTTGGACATCCATGTCACTTCACCA